TGCTTTAGCGCCACCTAGTGGACTGGAGTTCAGTGGCAGGGAGGGGGGATAACGTCTCTCTGTTATTCTTGATATTCTTTAATAATTAATAAACAAAGATAATGAACTTTCCATGATTTCTATCCAATGTAGTATTTTGTCCCTCATCTAATATTAATCCACTCCTTTATTGATCATATTTGCTGCAGTCTATTAATACATGTTGCATAGTCTACTAGTGCAGTGGTTCCAAACCTTTTTCCTTCAGGGACCCCTTTCTTATCATTGAGTGAACTGACGACCCCTGAATAACTGACTATTTTATGGATATTTTATATTATATTCAATGCATAACAGTAACAATACAGATCAACTGATAAACTGTACAATTAACCCAAATAGGTCTTCACAGAAATTAATACAATTCTGATATATAGGCCTACTGTGTATATTTTAAAGTTTTCTTACACCCCTTAAAATAAAGAAGGCCTCGTGGCCCCCTGTGAAGCTTTGGCGGCCCCTAGGTTCCTGTCCCCCAGGTTGGACACCACTGTACTATAGTGCACTATGGGGCTTCTCTTCGATTTCTTCTTTTTTTGAATTAATGTTAGTCGACTAATGTCCAAAATATTCAACTACCACCCCGGCTGGACTTTATTACACATGTTAAAAATCTGAAGTATTTTACAGGTAGATGGCCAGCAGTGGATAAAGTTCCTTGAATAAAAATACTACAAAGTAAAACACCCCATTGCAAGTAAAAGTCATATATTAAAAAATGTACTGGATAATATAGTGGAATAACAAGTACAATACTTATCTCTGAAAAATATATAGTATATGGTATAAAGTAGCATACAATAGAAATAATTATCTGAAGTACCAATATCTTAATAGACTACAGTAATTACATTACTTACAGTACACAGGAATAAATATTCTCACTTTCTATTTTACTTGAAATGTCCTCTATTCTCCTTCTGTGCTTCAATAGTTTGGAGCTATCTTTATCTAATTTAGGTTTATTTCAGACACATATGTCATATAAATAATAAAATACATACATGGACAAAAAACATAGAGACATAAAATCATTGCATTTCACAAATCCAAAAGAATGAAAACACATACAGACATTTGTTCCAGTCTTTCCAAAGACAAGATGAATACCTTTCATCACTTGGCTCTGTTAAGGATATATTAACAAACCTATATTTCCTAACATAGTTACACATATTTTTCATTTTAATTTGTACTTTTCTCATATGGGACATTATAATGAGTTATAGATAATTTAAAGAAAACAGGAATTGTAGGCCCACATGACTTCATACCATGTATATAAAAATAATTTATATCTAATAATAATATATAATATGTACACATTAATCTAACTACCCAAAATCTAAATCAAACAGATTCCAGGACAGTCCATGTTTACAGGTCTGAGAAGAAAGAGACAACAATACCAGAACAACACCGGAATTCAGTCGGGTTTCCTTCAAAATAAAAGCACAAAATGTAATGTTTTTATTATTATCACGACTGATATGTAATAAATAATATTTGTACAAACTATATCCGACAACTGATCTTCATTCAGCAAGTAAAGACTCATCCATATTGTCTATTAGCCTGCATGTACTCTGACTGAGCTCATCCTGTCATACAGGCCTGTCCGATCTCAAGCTTGTTGACCAATGTGGCTGTAAACATGCTGTTAAAATGAGAGTTTGGGATAGAATAATTACCATTTACCTCAACATTAATTAGTCTTTTATTTGTGCTTACACTGAAAAAACCTCAGCCCGGAAGCACCTCTTATAATTGTGGTTAACTTGGCACTCGTGTGGTCCTCGCTCTGATCGGGCAGACAGCTCAGGGGGGTAGTTAACATCAGCACGACCACGGAGCAGCTCTGAGTCTCTGCCCTGAACCCTCATAATGCATGGGGGCAAGAGAGGACTGGTGGCTCCGCAAAACACTTTTCTGGAGAATATTGTCCGGCGCTCCAGCGGTGAGTTTTACTGTAAACAGGGAAACAAAAATTAATGGATATTGATTTGGGATGTCAGTAAAGGTACCACACAGGGCTGCATGGGATGCTGAAGTAGACCTATAATGTTATCTGTGTGTCTTTTAATGGTGCTGACACTTCATTGTAATTTCCACTTTTTTTTTCTTTTTTTTTTTTTTACAGCAACTTAACTATGAATTCTGAATACGTGTGCAATAAGTCTCTTGTCTAATTCTCTGGATTAATAAGCTAAAATCTGTTAAATAGCCTATTTTTTGATATCTCTAAAGACATCTGTCTACCATTATCATTACCCTTAGAAATAGGCAGATTTACTGAAGTAATGTATGTAAGGGATGTAAGGGCTATTGTTAAAAGTCAAATGTCCTTAATGTCTGATGAGTTCTTCTGGTTGAATGGTTATAAAAGACTTGAAGGAAGACACAAACACCTCATTGTGTTGCTGATTCTTTGGTTGCACAGAGATGCCGGCCATAGTCTGACAATATATTGTTTTACCTGAAGCCCAAAAGTGGTAATTATGTGCTGCATGGTGTCTTTTCAGTGAATATGTCTTAAATCATTTTTTGAAATTTAATACTCAACAGTGAAACAGTAAATATGAAAACAATCTTACAA